TCGGTACACCGTATGCGTCATATACCATTTGTTGGTCCCACCTCATTTCAGCACGGTCTCCCCACGCACTCATCTCTGGAGGGACGTAACGAGACGAACCTACCGTTTGTGGTATAACAGATGGATCCAAAGGTTCGCCGTGAGAAGTCCAATTATAATAATTGGGAACAAAACCGACCGCGTACAAATCATACCCAACTTCGTGTGGGTCTTTAAATTTGAGATTTTTACACTTTGAACATGGACATCTTATTTTATCACCACTCATATAAGCCGGATGTTCAAGTGCAAATTCAATAAATTCCCCGACTCCCTCGAGAAAATTTGATTGCATTCCGTACAATACCGCATCTTTATCATACATCCAACTTCTATTTTGTTTATACATTATGCCTGAATATTATAATAAAAAATTATATGAAATGCAATGCACACAATTTTAAGTAATTTATTTCACTAAATAATCAACTAATTTTCACTAAATTAAATGAAATGCACACAATTCACAACAATAATGCACAAAATATAAGTAATTACCTAATACTTAAATTTAACTAATATTATAAAAAATTTAAGTAATTTATTAACACTACATTTAAATTAAACATACGTTTAACTAAATTTAACTAATTCATTTAGTTAAATTTAACTAAATTTAACTAGTTGATTCCGTCCCCTTTTAATGCATCACTACGTTTAAACCTACGTTTAGCTAACTAATTTAACTTAATTAACACATCACTAGCTACGTTCAAACCTACGTTTAGCTAACGAATTTTAATTAAATTATTTTTGTAAACCTACGTTTAAACCTACACTAAATTATTACGTTAATGACATTTAATCTTATTAGTAATACACAATTAACAATTCACTAAATTAAATAATATGACCAAATTCAATTCAATAATTTGAACATGTATATAAAGTCATTTGAATTAATAAACAATACACAATTCACAATAACAATTCACAATTCACTTAATTAACACATTACTAACGTACGTTTAACTAACTAATTTCACTTAACATAAACATCATTACGTTTTAAACTAGATTTAGCTAATTAATTTTAATTAAATTATTTTATAAACCTAAAAGTTTAACTAATTTTAATTTATGACATTACTACGCTTATAGTTAAATATGTTGTTAATTAATTAACAACCTCACTAATTTAATAGTTTTAATAATTTAAATTGAACCAACTAATTCTAAATAAAAATAATAATTCAAATAACATACCTTATCTGCATAAACAGGGAAAATGATAGAAGATAGACTACATCATTCGATCTTTCAAATAGATACTGTATATACTGGGAATGAATTGGTGTGGTTCTGTTGAATGAGCTGCTCCTGCATATATAAAAAATTTAGTCACGGACTTAGTCACGGATTTGTCCGTCACTAAGCAAAACCGTGTCCATTACGCGTCCAACCCGTGTTAATGACGTGTAAATGACGTGTTAATCAAAGTAGTCACGGAAATAGTCACGGACATGGCCGTGACTAAATTTATCCGTACATAATACCATTGCGAATTAATTTATGGGAGATGGAAAATTAAATTTTAATCATAGTCACGGCTTTAGTCACGGATGTGGCCGTGACTAAGAAGCTGTTCCGTTCACCTGATCTGAATGTTTCTGATCTGAATTTTTTAAGTTCTGATCTGATCTGATCTGAATTTTTCTGATCTGATCTGATCTGATCTGAATCTTTCTGATCTGATCTGATCTGATCTGAATCTTTCTGATCTGATCTGAATCTTTTTGATCTGATCTGAATGTTGCTGAACTGATCTGAATGTTGCTGATCTGATCTGATCTGATCTGATCTGAATGTTTCTGATCTGATCTGAAAGTTTCTGATCTGATCTGAATTCTTCTGATCTGAATCTTTCTGATCTGATTTGAATATTTCTATAATTGTAATTATAATTATAATTATTAGATTTATAATTGTAATTAAAAATATAACTTAAATAAAATTACAATTATAATCATAATTATAAAAAAATAATAATTAAAATTAAATTTAAAATTATAATAATTATACTAATTACACTAATTATAAGTACAGATACAATTATAAATGTAATTATATTTTTAATTATGATTAGTTTTATAATTATTATTGTAATTATAATTATAATATTTATTTCTATAATCATAATTATATCTATAATTACTAATTTAAATATATAATTACTCCGAAGTAATAATAATTACAACAATAACAACAAGAACAACAATCATATTAATAATAATGATGATTATAATTATAATTACATTGTAAATCATAATTATAATTATAATTATAAATATATTATATTATATTATATTATATTATATTATATTATATTATATTATATTATATTATATTATATTATATTATATTATATTATATTATATTATATTATATTATATTATATTATATTATATTATATTATATTATATTATATTATATTATATTATATTATATTATATTATATTATATTATATTATATTATATTATATTATATTATATTATATTATATTATATTATATTATATTATAATAATAATTTTATATTATTAACATTATTATTATTATATTATTAATAATAATATTATATTAATATATTAATATTATAAACAATAATTATAATATAGTAATCATAATTAATATATTAATAAAAGTGATAAATCATGTTTGAATTTTTTGATCTGATCTGATCTGATCTGAATGTTTCTGATCTGGTCTGATCTGGTCTGAATCTTTCTGATCTGATCTGAATGTTGCTGATCTGATCTGAATCTTTCTGATCTGATCTGAATGTTTCTGATCTGATCTGATCTGAATCTTTCTGATCTGATCTGATCTGATCTGAATCTTTCTGATCTGATCTGATCTGATCTGAATAAAATAAGATTAAGGAATAAGTAATAAGATTAAGACGAACGGAACAGCTTCTAAGTCGCCGGAGTAAAACAAGCGAGGCCGGAAAATCAAACGGGCCTATCGGAGGATTTTAGTCACAGACCACGACCGTGACTAATTGTAGTCACGGCCATAGTCACGGTCCAAGCCGTGACAATTTTTTTTTTAAAATTTCCGTGACTAGTCCGTGACTAAACTAGTCACGGACCAAATCCGTGACTACGGTCCGTGACTACACGCGTGTTTTTTTGTAGTGCGTGTAGCGCTAAGTAGCACAATATTTAAAACAAATAATGACAAATGGGAAACACTATTTTCAAAAAACACATGATTTTGTATGTAGGGGAAACGCATAAATAAAAAATATAAAGATATATTTGTAAGTATTTTGTCATATTATATACTCCCTCCGTCCCAGGGAGAAGTTTCCGGATTGACTTTCACACATATTAAGGAAATAAAGTTACTGGGGGGTAAATTTTACTGTTTGGCACTGTTTCGACACTGTTTGGCACTGTTTCGACACTGTTTTGCACTGTTTAGCACTGTTTGGCACTGTTTTGATGTAGAATAACTTTCCATTTAGGGAAATGGGAACTTCTTGTTGGGACTGCCAAAAAAGGAAATTGGGAACTTCTCCCTGGGACGGAGGTAGTACGTAGTATGTGTGTGTGTAAATTTATATTTTCATATGTTTAGCTTTATAATATTCAATGGTAAAAATAATCTACATGTATATTTTAATAAGTTATTGAAGTATTAGTACATAGTTACACGTAAAATACAATGCATTTCTATATATAAGAGGGTTTCCTAAAATATTACTCTATTACTAGTAGAATTTATGGATAAAAATGTGACTAAAATTATTACAAGTATATATATCATTACGGCAAGTCGGTCACTATGATGTTAACTTAAATTAAAGATTATCATGCTCTCTGAAGTTACTATTGTAATCATTAAAATACAAAAACCATGTTGCGTTTTCTATGATGAACAAACCACATATAAAACCAGAAATTCATGCTCCGTAGTTTTGAAAGATTAATTATTAATAAGTAAAAGGCTCCCCATTATATTTCAGATAGGCAAGCAATATAGAAACATCTAATTCATATTTTGGGCTTTCAACATGGTTTAGAGTTTCCAAAACGGTGAAGCATGAGGTTTGAGGAGTTTTCTGCTTTATAAGGAATCTAGCTTGTTCTAGCTATCATAGATGATGCGTGCCTTGCTATATTAGTATAATAAAATCACCTTGGCTAAAACTTATGAAAACAAGTTAAATAAAAATGATTTACAAGTTCTGCCTAAAAAAATGATTTACAAGTTCAAAACATATACTACACGTACGTTTGGTATGCAATTTAAGATAATAATAGAGAATTTACCCAAAATAGGACTAAAAAGGTTTGGAAATTCCAAAATAGGACTGACATGTTTTTATTTCCAAAATAGGACTAATTACTGACATGTTTTGGCAGTATCAGACTTCAAACATGGCAGTATTTTCCAAACTTGTCAGTAATTACTCTTACTTTGGGAATAAAAAACATGACAGTCCTATTTTGGAATTTTCAAACTGTTTTAGTCCTATTTCGGGAACTTTCCCATAATAATATTTGAAAACGATATCCATGTCAAAATGACTAATAACTTATCTAGAATTTGCATATATGGTTACTAGATCAGTAGGTACGTACAGTTAGGCCAAAAATAAATTGTGCATAAAACTAATTATCACGCCCCAATTAATGATGCCCATATATGGCAGTCAATAATAATTATAGGAAGAAGCATCTAAACTTATCCAAAAGACGTGTTTATTGCATACGTACTATTGAAATAGTGATTCAATTATATATATGTAGTGAGTCGTCTTATTTGCATGGTTCATTCTTTCTACGCAGTATCTCCGATATAACATCAACATCATCTTATATCTACCATCATTCTTAATTTCTTGTGTAGCAAGCTAGTTCATATTTATACCATTAGAAGGAAGCTAGATATATTAAATTGAACGAAGAATGGCGGGTGGTGGTTTTGGGCCTAGTGCGGCCGGTAATAAAGGGAAAGAATACCCGGGCAACCTTACCGGATATGTTAGTTTCACTTGCATTGTTGCTGCCATTGGTGGTCTTATTTTCGGTTACGATATAGGAATTTCGGGTATCATTTCATAGGTTTTATATTGTTTATATCTATATTTATGTACGCTGTATGTTTTATTTTTGGAAAGGACAAAAAATGTGGGAATGATAACTCATAGTATATTTTTAAGGATAATAATTCAGCAAGTTACGTTTTGAAAAGAGAGCTATTTTTCTTCTTTTTAATCATCACTCGATAATTGCTTGCGCTTATATATATATATATATATATATATATATATATGAGTACTCTTCTCATCAGGCCGGCCTGACGGGCTGCCCCGTCCGGCCGAGACCTTTTGGGCACCTTCCCGGTGGAATTTTTTGATGAAAATTTTTGAGCATGTTCCTCATCAAGTCTAGTTTGTCCATACCAAATTTCAGCTCAAAATTCGATCGGGAAGGTCGTCAAATGATTTTTGCAAGTTAACTGGTCCGGAATACATATTTTCCGGACCAGTTAACTTGCAAAAATCATTTGACGACCTTCCCGATCGAATTTTGAGCTGAAATTTGGTATGGACAAACTAGACTTGATGAGGAACATGCTCAAAAATTTTCATCAAAAAATTCCACCGGGAAGGTGCCCAAACGGGCTCGGCCGGACGGGGCAGCCCGTCAGGCCGGCCTGATGAGATGATTTCTCTATATATATATATATATATATATATATATAGTTGTTAACTTATTCTTTTTTAATGGATAGTTGTTAATTCCTCAGTAAAAATGGAATTTTCCTTCATTGAATAGTTGTTAACTTATTCTTTTTTAATGTTTTGGCGGGGTGCAATGAAAATGTGGAATAAAAAAAGGGGGTGTGACATCAATGGACAGATTCTTAGAGAAGTTCTTCCACGCGGTATACCTAAAGAAGAAGGCGGTGACATCCACAAATCAGTACTGCAAATTTGATAGCATTCCGTTGACGTTGTTCACCTCGTCGCTCTACCTCGCTGCACTTTGTTCCTCACTCATCGCGTCCTATGTGACGCGGAGACTTGGGAGGAAGTATTCCATGCTGTTGGGAGGCGCTCTCTTCTGCGCCGGCGCTTTGATCAATGCCTTAGCTCAAAACGTGGCCATGTTGATCCTCGGACGCCTTTTGCTTGGTTTTGGCGTTGGCTTTGCCAATCAGGTAGGTCTTACTTTTCCTTATAGTTTCGCAAATAAATGATTTATGACTTATAAATTTGTTGAAGTAATAATTAATTAATTGTCTCACACCGAATTGGTACAAAACAATAAAACATTATATAAGATCATTTGTTACTTGACCTTATATATATATATATGTTATTCGGTTTCTTCTTGTAATGTCGTAGGCCGTTCCACTTTACTTGTCTGAAATGGCTCCCTACAAGTATAGAGGAGCACTCAACATTGTGTTTCAACTATCCATCACCATTGGGATCTTAGTTGCCAATGTGTTGAACTACTTCTTTGCAAAGATGAGTTGGGGTTGGCGTTTGAGTCTGGGAGGAGCCATGGTCCCTGCGTTGTTCATCATAGTCGGGTCCATCTTCCTTCCCGAGACGCCGAACTCGTTGATCGAGCGGGGCAACAATGAGTTAGCAAAAGAGAGGCTCAAGAGGATAAGAGGAGTAGAGAATGTGGATGAAGAGTTTGAGGACTTGGTGGCAGCTAGTGATGCCTCTAGGAAAGTTGAGAATCCATGGAGAAACTTGTTGCAAGAAAAGTATAGGCCGCAACTCACAATGGCTATCATGATCCCATTTTTTCAACAATTCACTGGAATCAATGTGATTATGTTTTACGCCCCAGTGTTGTTCAATACCATTGGTTTCGGAGATGACGCATCACTCATGTCCGCTGTGGTTACCGGTGGTGTTAATGTTGTTGCTACTCTCGTCTCCATTTACTATGTTGATAAATTAGGTCGAAGGTTTTTGTTTCTAGAGGGTGGCATTCAAATGTTCATTTGTCAGGTAATAACAACTTAATTGCCCTCTTAATTACGCTCATTGACATAATTTTATTCGATAATAACCAGACACTTTCATTTGATTGTTTTGCATGTCTAGTCCTTATGTGGTCTAATAAAGCATGTGTGTGGTCACATATAGTTAAAAGCTAGTTAGAAAAAATTTGGAAGACTAATTTGTCTAAACACTTTAAATTCTAGTCATATATGAGTGTGATCATATATATATATACTTATAAGCGAACATACTAAAATAAAATACGTAATACTTTATTATGCAAAGTATGTAATAGCTTGGGTCTTAGTGTGCCATATATGTAGACGAGTATGTAGTATATATATAAACTTTAAAAATCACAATATGTGGCACATGTTTTTCAATCATATATAATGGGGAATATTTATTTGAGTTATAATCAAACCATACTAACAAAAAGTATAGTTAGGGAATAATGAGATAGCCATATAAATAAATTGAAGGTTTTGAAAACAATATAATTTTTTACAATTATTTAATTAGTGAATATTTGATGTATAATTAATGTCATTTAAAGTTTTCCCTGAATAGCTCGGACAATTGCAATTTGGGAAAAGTTTTAGGATATATATCAAAATTGGATGTGTATATGATGATTCATTTACATTTTACTTTTCGAACAAAATCTCCACATCCAACTTATTATATTAACGTAGTATATGTGAATGTAGTGTGGTAGAAACATCGTATAAATAGAAGTGTAGAATGATCTTTTTCACAATTGATTGATCTTTTATAGTTTTTCTATTGTTATTAATCTAATCTAACTGGTTACTAGACATATAAAATTAACTAGACTTTCGAGACATATAACTACTAACTACTAAAAGCATATATGTAGTGTAACTTATAATTTAGTCTATTTGCTGTGTATTTAGAAGGTAATATTTTAAGAATTGAGTTAATTTGCATTTTAATTATGTGTTAATCCGCCAGTTATTTTTTTTTTCGGTTACAAATTATGTACATGTACATGTTTTCACTTTTTGACATGGTTTTAGTATGATATGGTAGCATCTGGTTTCAAAATGGTAGTAAGATATATTTCGTACTGGTATTGTATGGCCTGATAGGTCAACATGGATTATCATGGGCCATTCCCACCCTTATGTAAATGTCACTTCAATTTAGACATTTTATTACATCATTTTCTAATTTCTTTTTACATATTATTACATGTGGTTTTGTACGTAGGTTGTAATTGCAATATTTATTGGAGTGAAATTCGGAGTAAACGGATACCCAGGCGAGCTGCCAAAGTGGTACGCCGTAGTAGTAGTGCTGTTTATTTGCATTTACGTGAGTGCTTTTGCATGGTCATGGGGGCCTTTGGGTTGGCTTGTGCCCAGTGAGATTTTCCCGCTTGAGATTCGTTCTGCGGCGCAAAGCATTAACGTTGCGGTCAACATGATCTTCACATTCATCATCGGACAAGTCTTCCTGACAATGTTGTGTCACATGAAATTTGGGCTGTTCTTGTTCTTCGCCTTTTTCGTGTCTATCATGACCTCACTCGTCTATTTGTTCTTGCCTGAGACAAAGAATATCCCGATAGAGGAGATGGTGGTTGTTTGGAAAAAGCATTGGTATTGGACAAGGTTCATGATTGAGGTTGATTGTCCTGGAAAGCCGAACTCTATCGAATTGAGTGTTGTAGGAGAAGCTGCTTGATATGCACTAATTAGTAGTGCATAAATGTGTCTTTTTATGTTTGATTTGTGTGGATTGTTTACCAATTTATTTAGTTTGTAAACATTTGTGTGATTTTAGTTGTAATTGTATTTTAGTTCTCATTTGTAAGTTGTAAAGTAGAGTTAGGATTTATGGTGTTGGAAAGGAAGACTTTGAATGTGAAGAAAAATAATTCTTGGCTGCCCAGGACAAATCACCCGGTCGGGTGAGGTATTGCACCCGGTCGGGTGAGACATTGAAATGTGAAACTGCTCGGGAAATTACATCACCCTGTCGGGTGAGGTATTTCACCCGGTCGGGTCCGACTTGACCCGGAACACCAGAACGTGCCGAAGATCACCAGAACGTGGAGGATATTTGATTTTGACATGCACCCGGTCGGGTGGGCACTTTACCCGGTCGGGTACCCGGCCAAAGGTGTTGAAAAACACCTATAAATAGCCCCATTTTCCTTCACTTTTAATCATCCCTTCTTCCATACTCTTAAGCTCAGTTTAGAATAGTATTTCTTTTATATTTTTATAGCATGTTTAGTCTCCAAATGAGGAGCTAAACTCTTCCATCTTGGTTTTGCTACTTTGAAGCTTAATGAATTTGTAAGTTGTGAGTTATTATCTTTAATCTTCTTCCTTGAATATTAATTCTTCCTTTAAATACTATTTCTATATCAATGTTGGGGAGTGTTACTAAGATGACAATTAGTTAACATCTTGACATTAGTTATAGTAATAGTTATTTCTTCCTCTACGTTAATATCGGGGAGTGTTACTAAGATGACAATTAGTTAACATCTTGATATTAACTATAGTAGGATTCATCTTCTTTAATATTCTTTCTTGAGTATTAATTAATTCCTATTCATATTTCATCTTAATATTTTGAACATTACTTAAAGGATCAACTAGTTTTGTTTCATATATTAATTAATACTAGAATCGGTCGATTAATACGCTTGTTATTAATTCGGTCCTTTCACGGTAGTAAACTTGGATTATTAATGCATGCATCTCATGGTTAATAATCTAAGGGGAATTAATTACATTGATTAACCAATAAACCGCTTGTGTTGAGGTTATCAATCTCAATCGTTTTCATCTTGATTTTATTGCTACTATCAAGTTAATATACGGCGCTTGTTCTATATTGACTCGGTAGTAAGTTTTATTAATGAACGCGTCTCGTTATTAATAACTACCCTCGATGAACTGGATATACTCCTCGATTGAGTATTCGAGAGGAAGATAGTTAAAGATATAACCGGGATCGACGAACATTTCATTAAGTGGATAAAAGCAAAACCAAGTCTTCTTCTCATTAATTAAACCACATAACTCGTTCATCTTCATGTTTAATTTATTAAACCAAATCAAACTAAAACCCCCCATTTTATTACTAGTTATATAAAAAGAGAAGTATTCCTTTCCCTGTGGATACGAACCTTACTTCGCTATACTACGTATTAGTGTTAGTATTGAATATTATTTTGAGTGCACCTAACGACAAGTGCACGTCACTGCTCACAAAAAAGTGTGACAAATTTGGTTACAATGGAAATGTGCACTCGTGGTTTCACATTTGATATCATGTTGTGTTTTTAAGTTTTTATTTAACCTCTTTTACTAAATTTGTTCAATTTTGGCGATATTTATCGATCATGTGTAAAAACCAAATAGTGTAAAACCCATATTTTAGAGAAAATTACCGGCCATATAACTAAAAGTAATGACTAATATAGTAATATGCCATTATGCATATCATCCGACCATTTTTATGTTAATCCATTCCGCCCTTTGATTCAGGGCTTAACCGCCCAACCTGTTGGCACTACGATGTGGTGCAGCCCCTCATGTCCATCCGCCGCTCAGTAGTGGGGCTCTGCACTGCCGTAGTGAACTGTGGGGGGTGCCCCACAGGAATCTACCTTGACTTGGGGACTACAGAGTAATGGGTTAAATAGAGGGTGTCCACTTCCTTATCACCAATTGGTTTTAAGAAAGATATGGCTGCTATTTAAACACAGAACTCTGGAGTTAAGCGAGCCCGGGGTAAGAAAGCCCAAGGATGGGTGACCCACTGGGAAGTTTGTCGACAGGGGTGAATCGATCCAACAAGTAACATGGTTGAGATAAACACAGATAAGTAGGTTCCACATTTTCCCTAGTTTCTAATAAAAGATGATTTTAAATGTATGACATACTACGTACACTCCGTATTAATTACTATATTCTTTTTTTACTGTGACAAATTATTATTCTTGGTAAAAGAATTCTCCTCTTTCATTCTTTCTATGTGTTCTGAATTATACGATTACATATTTCTTCAAACATGGCTATGGCAGTTCGTATATCGTGGTATCACCCCATGGTCAGCATCGTGCTCCCACACCCAAAACGATGTAGTTTTGCACAATTTTTTTAAAAAAAATCGCGTGAACAGTACACGCGTGTACAATAACTGTTTTTTTGTCCCGGTAGTATAAATGATGTAACTCGCGTGTAAAGATATGTAACTCACGTTATTGATCAATGTAACTCAAGTTCATTCGAAATGAAATTTATCAAATATATAATATGAAAACTTAAACATTGACTTCAATGCAAACAATGAAAAAAAGAGCCAACTACACAATTACTTTACAAAATCGTGAATATATTTTGTTTATAATATCATGACCATCACAAGGATTTAAAAAAAAAACATTTTTTTTGTTTCAATAGCAGTGAGTTATTTTTTATGTAACTCATGTTATTACAAATGTAACTCGCGTTGATGACAAATGTAACTTGCGTTTCAGAAGATGTAACTCGGTTATAAAATAATATAACTTAAGCATAAAATTATGTAACTTATGCTCTGGAATGTACTTCACTCCCTCAAATTGTTACTCTCTCGCCTGTTATATACGAAATGTAAATCATGTATATTAAAATGTGACTTCAGACAAGTTGAGAATTGAGATGTAAACCATGTTAATTGAAATGTAACTTGCTCGGATAAGTCGAAATGTAGATGACGTAGATCACATTAGTTAAAATGTAACTTGGTGCAAATTGTAATGTAAGTCCCGTTAAAGGAGATGTAACCTAAGGCAAATGGAAATGTAAATTGTGTTAATGGGAATATAAGTTGTCTAATACTCCATATAAGATCGATATATACATCTAAAATAAAATATATATAATACGAAGTATATATTATCAAAGTCCTTCAATCCACCGTAAGGGAATACTGCGTCGCCGACGAGACAAGTACGGTTAGAGATGGACGAGCTATCTTCTTTGTTGGCTAACAGCTTGTGTTAAATTATGCATTTGCTGGTTTGAATTAGAGTTTGCTACTTAATTGGCTTAGTAAAAGAGGTAATACATGTGCACGAAGCATTACAAATTCGATTCAGCAGGTAGGGAGGTCCAACAAGGAAGCTTCGTATCAGCAAAGGAATTGATTAAGCAGGGACAAAGCACACGCTGGACGGCTGGAGAAGACGATGAATTTTGTCGACTCTGTTTTAATTAATATAAAACGGCCTCGTTTTGGGATCGGCACACCATGCGCATGGGGGCCGATCCCACGGTATAATTTGTGCGGCTATGGTATCACGGCTATTTTCTGAATTATACTTACTACGTATTACATAGTTCTTCAAACACGGCTATGCTATTGTCATACGAAAAATAAAGAATTTTATACTTCTTTATAATTAATTATACTATGTTTGTTGTCTTTTGTACATATGGTGTACGTCTTGGGATTATATCGAAGCTGGTTAATTGATAATTATGCGAATTTGAGGAATGAATATTTGGGAGCCAAGGATGAATTAAGAATAATCTACCAATAAAGTTCAAGTTGAACTGTTGAAGCCCCGGTGGTGTTCTACTTCACGATCACGCATCAGACATCGAGTGCAGTTATGTAAGTAAGATCTACCCGCGCGGGTAGGTCAGTTGATTGAGTGGTAGGAAAGTTAGATTATTGATCAATGATCGAAACTCATAATAACCGTGCAGAGGTTACAACTCTTGTATATTGAATTGGGTTGAACTGTTGATACCTATGGATACAAGATCTACTATTATTGGACTAACCGAGTCACCGTTACTTATCACCTATCAAGAAAACAATCAACAATTAAGAATTCAAACAACCATGAATGGAATCGATTAATAAACTGTTGGAGGTATTGGTCCTACCGAGGCCTCCCTTCCACTTTATTTGTTGAGGCTTGCACCCTATTGTTTTACTCCCACTTTGGTACCTTTACCTTGGTATTTTATCTGATCAATAACATACCTATTTGAGGGTTGACTTACCCACTTGGCTGGCCCCTCTGTGTTCTGTCCGCTGCATACTCCATTTGTCTTGGTCTTGCTTGTGACTTTCCTTTGTCTAAGATGCATGTGAGTGTCTTTTGTATTGACCTCACCCGTGACTTCCTTGGCAGCCTATTAATAGTCTTTGCTTCTTCCTTGTGAGCCTCAGCCTGCGAGAAACACTTCTATTGAGAGCAGTGCTCTCCTTCTCTTTCCCTTTGTGTGAGAACTGAGAGGGACTTAGTGGTTGAGCTAAAAACCTTAGTGTGTGCTATAGCCTCCTCCTAAGTGTGGTGTGTGAGAGTGTGTGTTGAAAGACCTGAGCCGGAGACGGAAGAAACGATCCTTACAGTGGTATCAGAGCCTGGTTCGCCGTCTGCCGCCGTCCGCCGCCGCCGTCCGCCGCCGCCATCGATTGGAGCTCGCCGAAGTTCCTGGAGTTGCCTGGTGGGTCTCACGAGCTCGCTGGCCTTCCATCGTGGTCTGCTGTTGAAATCGAGCTTGCCTCGCCATCGCCGCTCGAAGCTCTGCCGTCGCCTGGAAGCTCGCCTGGGTTCGTAGGAAGGTACCCGCCAGAAAGTCCGCCGTCTGCCTGGAGTTTCAACCGCCGATTGGCTCTCGGCCTGGGAGTTCGTGTCTGAGGCCACTCGTCCCCCATCGATTTTCTTGTGGTTCGCAGAAAGTCCTGAGCGAGGAAGACGAAGGCCGCTGGTTCTGTCCGTATCTCGAACGTCAAAACGTTGGGCCCCTGTGTTACTGTAGCTGGACGCTGATCTGTACACTGGGCGCCAGGGACGTCCAGATTTGGGCCAGAGTGCTGCTAGGCTGTCTTTTGGGCCTCTGGAACTGGGCTTCTGGACTGCTGCCTTGCTAATGGACTGAGGTTGCTGTTCTGGGCTGGAGCTGGATTACTTGGACCGGGCTGGAGTGCTGACTTGGACTGGAGACCTGGACAGCTGAGGAGCTGGACCACCAGTCAACTTCCGCCGGTCAACGCTGGTCAACGCCGGTCAACGGCAGTCAACCCCTCCAGAAAAATCCCAATTTTTTTTAATTTGGGTAGGTAAGGTCGAAACGCTCTCCTAGGGTTTCGCGAAGGTAAGTTTTCTTTAATCTTCCTATTTGTAATTTTCCGGTATTAATTTAATTTAATTTAATTTATTCCCCCTCCCCGCGGGCCGCCGGTTGATTTAATCCCGGCCGCCAACCCCCCAGGTACGTTCTAAACTTTCTCCTTTGTGGTAGATTGTTTTAGTTGATTAATTAAATTGCTAAGTGTTATTTAATTTAATTGTTATGCGTAGGGGTGGTTTATTGGGTGGTAGGGGTAGAATTAATTAATTTTAATTTTCTGCCCGGAATTGTTTAATTGCCATTATGTCCAATTTTTTGTTATGTGTTGCATGCTGCCCGGGGTTATTAAAGTGAATACTTTATAACCCGGGTTGGATTATTTTCTGTCAATTCAGTCTGTTTAGCTTTGTGTTCCTTTTGTGGTTGATACCATGGCTGCAAATCAGTATGGTATGCTTCCATTTAATGGAAAAACAGATTTTGATATTTGGAAACAGAAAATTAAGTGTGTGTTAATACAACAAAAAGTTTTCAGAGCTGTCACTGGTATTTTCCTTGAATCAGAAGATAAGGCTAAGCAAATTGAAATGAACGAAACTGCTTGTTCTACTATTTACTTGAATCTGTCTGATTCTGTGCTTAGGAAAGTAGGTATTCTTGAGTCTGCTAAGGAGTTGTGGGAGAAATTGGATAGTCTCTATACTGATACCTCTTTGCCCGGGAAGTTGTTCTTACTAGAGAAATTCTTTAGGTTTAGGCTTGACCTGACTAAGGATATAGATGAGAACCTGGATGTGTTTAATAAACTGATACAGAATATCAAACAGGCAGGTGATAAACACATAGATGATTACACTCCCATAGTATTACTTAATGCCATTCCCGACTCTTATAATGATGTTAAGTCCGCTATTAAGTACGGTAGGGATGAGATTTCATTAGACATTGTGGTGAATGGGTTAAGGAGTAAGGAATTAGACCTGAAGCATGCTAGGGGTAGTGCTAGTCAGTCCAGGGACTCCGGTGAGGCTATGTTTGTTAGGGGTAGATCTAAGGGTAGGTCTAAGAACTCTAAGCAAAATAGTCAGGGTAAGAACACTAGTCAGCCTGGGAGGAAGAGGAGCAAATCTAGGAAGAGAGTGTGTTACAATTGTGGTAACACTGGCCATTTCATTAAGGATTGCCCCCACCCTAAGAAGACCGAGCATGCTAGTGTAGCTATTGATAAATGTGACCTTGGTGATATTTTGATGGTTTGTGACCATGTTAATTCTGTGAGAAATTCCCTGTCTGAGCATGAATGGTTGATTGACTCTGGTTGTACCTATCACATGTCCCCCTTTAGAGATTTGTTTTCTACTTATGAATTATGTGATAGTGGCTACGTTTCCTTAGCTGATAATAAGAGATGCAATGTGCTTGGTGTTGGTGATATATGTCTGAAGTTTTCTTGTGGTTCTGTGTTTACCATTAAGAATGTGAGGCATGTCCCTGATTTGTGTCATAACTTGTTATCTGTTGCTGCTTTGGAGAGTAGTGGGTTGCAGGGAAAATGGGGGAATGGTTGTATGAAAATCCTGAAAAACTCGCTTGTTTTGTTTAAAGCTGAGAAGGTGAATAACCTTTATGTGTGTCATGCTAAACCTTTTACTGAGTCTGTGAATGTTGTATGTTCTGATAAGACCTCTTTGTGGCATAATAGGCTAGGACATATGAGCAATAAGGGTTTAGATGTCATGCGTAGGGCTGGTTATTTTGGTAAGGACTCTGTGACTTCTGTGCCTTTCTGTGAATCATGTGTGTTAGGCAAGCAGCATAGAGTCAGCTTCCCTCCTTCCTCTTACCCTAATCTGTCTAAGTGTTCGTCTGTGCTTGAATATGTTCATGCCGATGTTTGGGGTACTGCCAGTGTTCCTACCCACGGGGGTAGGAAATATTTCCTTTCTATCATTGATGATTTCTCTAGGAAGGTGTGGGTTTGCCTTTTAGAACACAAGTCTGATGTGTTTGTGAGGTTTAGGGAGTGGAAAACCCTAGTTGAAAACCAAACTGGCAGGAAGGTTAAAACCCTTAGGACTGATAACGGGTTAGAGTTCTGTAATAAGGAGATGGATAAGCTGTGTGTGGATTATGGGATAAAAAGGCACAAAACTGTGCCTTATACTCCCCAACAGAATGGGATAGCAGAGAGAATGAATAGATCTCTGTTGGATAAGGTTAGAAGCATGTTAGCTACCTCTGGTTTGTCTAAGAAATTCTGGGGTGAAGCAGTCACTACTGCTGCCTATTTGGTTAATAGGTCCCCGTCTGTCCCTCTTGGTGGTAAGTGTCCTGAAACCGTCTTTACCGGTAAGCCTCTTGATCTGTCTAACCTTCGGGTGTTTGGTTGTGCAGCGTATGCACACCAACAGGGTGACAAGTTGGATCCTAGGTCTAAGAAGTGTGTCTTCCTAGGTTATCCAGAGGGGGTAAAGGGTTACAGGTTATGGGATAGGAACCAGGTAGGCTTTAAAGTGGTCCTTAGCAGAAATGTGGTGTTCAATGAAACTGATTTTCCTTGCTTGACCGAGTCTGCTTCTAATCTTGAGTCTAGGTCTGATAGTACTCCTAGTGAGGTGGAGTCTGTCCCTGTTGCTGCTAGTCCTTTATCTGTTGATCCTATTATTACTGATGATATTGTTATGCATGATTCTGATTCCTCTGAGCATGATAGTCCCACCACCTCGAGTGAGGTGGAGCATTTGCATGATACTGAGCATGATTTGCATGATATGGGTGCTGAATCTGATTTTCATGATAACAATAATTTGCATGAGTTGCATGTGGAGCCTAGTAGTGATAATTTGCATGATTATCAACTTGCTAGAGATAGGAGTAGAAGGGCTATCAGGAGAACTGCTGATAGTATGCCTGATTATGCTTTCATTGTGCATGATACTTCTATGTTTGCATTTTCTGTGTTTGAATCCCTAGAACTGAATGAACCCAAGACCTACCGTGAAGCCTTAGGTTCCAAAGAGTCTCAGAAATGGATTAGTGCCATGAAAAGTGAGATGGACTCTTTGAGAGTGAACCAGACTTGGACCCTTGTACCTAGACCCCCCAACTGTTCGGTAGTTGAGTGTAAGTGGTTGTTTAAGGTTAAGGAAGAACCTAGTGATGTTAGGTTTAAGGCTAGGTTGGTTGCAAAGGGGTTTACTCAAAAAGAGGGGGTAGATTATGCAGAAATCTTTGCTCCTGTTGTTAAATTCACCACTATTCGTATGATGCTTGCTTTAGTTGCTCACCATGACTGGGAAATGAAACAGATGGATGTAACTACTGCATTTTTTGCATGGTGAATTGGATAAAACAATTTATATGACCCAGCCTGAGGGCTTTGTGGATCCCAAGAGAAGTGAGCATGTCTGTTTGCTTAGGAAGGCTTTGTATGGCCTGAAGCAATCCCCTAGGCAGTGGAACATCAAATTTGATAAATGCATGATATCTTTGAAGTTCCAAAAATCTGTTTGTGATCTTTGCCTGTATTTCAAGAATACTTCCTCTGTGCCTGTATTTTTGTTACTCTATGTGGATGACATGCTGATAATTAGTCCTTCTCTGAATGCTATTAAAGATGTGCAGAAATGTCTTTGTGCGAATTTTGCCATGAAAGACCTAGGTGATGCCAAGAGGATCCTAGGCATAAACATTGTTAGGGATAGGAGTAAGCGTACTCTTACTTTGAATCAGATTTCTTACATAGAAAAAGTTTTGAGTAAATTTAATATGTTATCTGCTTCTCCTGTTAATGTCCCTATGGCATCTCACTTTGTGTTAAGTAAGGACCAGTCTCCCAAGACTGCTCCTGAAATTGAGAAAATGAAATCTGTGCCTTATTCCAGCGCAATAGGGTCGGTGATGTATCTTATGGTTAGCACTAGACCTGATATTGCATATGCGGTTAGTTGCTTGAGTAGATATATGTCCAACCCTGGTTTGCCTCATTGGAATGCTCTTAAGTGGTTGCTTAGATATCTGATTTCTACTGTGAAGCATGGATTAATTTTCTCTAAGTGTGCTAGTGGTATTGAATTGATTGGTTATGTTGATTCTAACTATGCAAATGATAGAGATAACAGGAAGTCGACCACTTCTTATGTTTTTACTTTGTGTGGCTCTTGCATTAGTTGGAAGTCTCAACTACAGCCTATTGTGGCCCTTTCTACCACTGAGTCCGAGTATGTTGCAGCCACAGAAGCGTTTAAGGAAGCCATCTGGCTCAAACGCCTTGTCTCCGAAATTGGGTTTCTCAAAAAGGGAGTTACCATTTTCTCGGATAGCCAATCGGCTATCCAACTTTGCAAAAATCCTGTATTTCATGATAGAACTAAACATATTGATGTTAGGTTCCATTTCATACGTGATATTGTTGATGCAGGTGGAGTCAAGCTGTGCAAGATCCCGTCCGAGTTTAACCCCGCGGATATGGGTACCAAGTGTCTTTCTGCTGAGAAGCACTTGTCCTGTAAACGCGTGTTAAACTTTGACTGTGGATAACTGTGGGTTGCCTAATAAAGTGTTTGCCCGTTGTGTCTGTTGATATTCCGGGTGACCCGGCGATGATGAGTCTTGTCACAACCTTGTATTGATACTCTACACCACCTAGGACCAATAAGGTGGAGAATGTTGGAGGTATTGGTCCTACCGAGGCCTCCCTTCCACTTTATTTGTTGAGGCTTGCACCCTATTGTTTTACTCCCACTTTGGTACCTTTACCTTGGTATTTTATCTGATCAATAACATACCTATTTGAGGGTTGACTTACCCACTTGGCTGGCCCCTCTGTGTTCTGTCCGCTGCATACTCCATTTGTCTTGGTCTTGCTTGTGACTTTCCTTTGTCTAAGATGCATGTGAGTGTCTTTTGTATTGACCTCACCCGTGACTTCCTTGGCAGCCTATTAATAGTCTTTGCTTCTTCCTTGTGAGCCTCAGCCTGCGAGAAACACTTCTATTGAGAGCAGTGCTCTCCTTCTCTTTCCCTTTGTGTGAGAACTGAGAGGGACTTAGTGGTTGAGCTAAAAACCTTAGTGTGTGCTATAGCCTCCTCCTAAGTGTGGTGTGTGAGAGTGTGTGTTGAAAGACCTGAGCCGGAGACGGAAGAAACGATCCTTACATAAACTAATCAAATCATCATATCAGACTAATCTACTTTCCAGTGAAATTTCTTTATGAAACTTTAAGAGAATGTTTTTCATCACGTGTAGATTATATCCATAAAATTTCAGCTTAAAATGAAATCGTGAAGTCAGTTAAATAAATTATTAAAACACAATGCGCCAAAATATGTATAAAAAGCAGTGTTTTCAAGAATTTATTTAGGTGACTTCTAAATTAAACTTTAAACTGATTTTTTCTCACATACTCTAAACTTCATAGAAATCATGGTCATAAGTTTCGCTAAAAAATCCATTCAGAAGAACTTCAACAAATTCCACTTGAAAAATTGTTACTTTAGGCCCGAAAAATGAGCCTACTCACATCTGTTACAAAGAACTAAATTTGGGTCTATTTTTACCAATATTTTTTGGGCCTAGGGCGCCCGCCCCACTTGCACCCCCTAGGGCCGCCCCTGAGTGCGGGCTTCTGAAGTTGACGATTCAACCTTTAACATATACTACCTCCGTCCCATTTATATTGGGACGGAAGAGGGTGGCACGGTTATTAAGAAAAGTGGGTTTGTGTGATTGATATTAATTGATAAAGTAAGAATAAAGTAAAAATGATTTAGAGCCACACAAACTTTGCCAAATATGATATGAGACAATTCAAGTGTGACTTCTTGATAAGGTAAAACGAGGCAATATAAATGGGACGCAGGGAGTAAGTAAGGTCTTGTCCTTTCCAAGAACTGAAGCCGTTGGCGAAATTGCAAATTGATGTACGAATCAAAAAAGAAAATCCAGATATGACACATACACGTACTCGTTTTTGTGTGGGGCTTTAATGCTTTCGAGCTGGAATGACGAAAGATCTTGCAACTGCTTCTGCTTAAATAAAAGCACTTTTGGAGATGTAAGGAAAAAGTGATTAGTAGGAAAAGTTGATAGTGTTTGAAAAAAAAGTAATTTTGAAAAGTAAAAGTTGATAGTGTTTGGTAAAATAAGTTCTTTTTGTGTAATAGAAAGGGGAAAAGCACTTTTCACACGCAAGCTGAGAAAAAGTTAAAATTGGTAGTGTTTGGTAAATACGTGTTTTTTTAAGCCAAAAGCTGAGAAGTGCTTTTTTTAAGTGATTGCAAACACTCCCTTATATACTTTATGAATGACATGTAATGTCGTTTTAATATGGAGTAATATTATACTAGTAATTTTTCCAAATAATTAAGCACTTCCACTCAATCCAATTATTTGATTGATAACTTCACTAACTCGAAGAGATTATGGTAAAAGATCGTTTATCATTATATTAAAGGTGAATATGTATGACCACTCCATTGAAAAGGGGAATACTTTACCATCACCGTCAATTTCTCTTTCTCCTCTTAGTTTGAGGAGTTCAAGGATCGGAGTTACAAACTTATGATCAAAAGAGCCACAAATGTCAAAAATATCTAAAGTGCCATACATATGAATATATTATGTACTCCGAATATATCTTTAATCTTCTTCTCCCAAATCCCAAGCTAGCTCTGTGTCCAGCAGTTCATAAGCATCACTTTCTGGACAGACTCATCATCAACTTCTACCCTCTTAACTTCTACCTCACTGCTGCAGCCAGCCCCGGTGCTACTTGGCCGCACCGCCCGAAAGGCGGTGTAATACTTTGACGGGCACTTTTCCCTTTGTGTCGTTTCAATCACTGCAACACTAGCCGCCATGCATACTCTGCTAATGTAGCTCATCTTGACGTCCCAAAGTATACTTTTGAAGATTTTTTAACTTTTCTTTTCAAGACGTGGAACTTGGAAGTGGATAAAAATGGTGGAAGAAGACGTTATATATAGCATGCTGTTGTTTGGCTCTAAAGACAGACAGTGGTTTTGTTGGCGAAGAGAGAAGAGACATGGTTTTGGAGGAATTCTAGCGGCCGATTGATGATGGAAGGATGGCCGGCCTTTTGTGACCTTTTTTGTCGTTATTGTGCAATATAAATGGTGATCTGGCGGCTTTATCATCAATTTCATTTCAACACATAAACAATTAAGGTGACAACTCCGGTACCTTTCTAAAAACAGAGGTACTGTACCTAGCATTCAATTGATTGGACCACATTACTTTATCAATTTTAATTTAGATTTAAATAATTTAACTGCTACCTTTTCATTGGTTCATGTGGACAAAGGTACGGTACCTTATGGGTACCATAGAAACTACCAACAATTAAAACAAGGTAGATTCTATGGTACCCATAAGGTACCATACCTTTGTCCACATGGACCAATGACAATGTAGCAGTTGAATTATTTAAATTCAAACTAAAAATGATAAAGTGATGTGGTCCAATCAAATGAATGATAGGTACGGTACCTCATATTTTAGAAAGGTACCGGAGTTGTCACCTTAAAACAAACGCACCGGATCGAGATTATCTGCTTACAAGTTAAAACGCACCCATAACTGCAGCACTATCAATTAGGTTGCTAAGTAATCTCTTCTCAAATCCTGATTAAAGGAAAACTGACAGACTATTATTATTATTCCTAATCGTGCAATCTAATCACTCAAATGCTTATAAATTAGATTAGAGTAAATTCCCTAAATAGGATTAAAACAATAGAAAAATTCAAAACTAGGACTACCATGTTTTTTTGAACGTTTTTAGGACTAAAATATAGCAGCTTGACAAAATTGCCCCTCAATATAAAACTCCAGGCTTCCGTATGGAGCCGCTGCTACTCTGGGAAGATCTGCTACTCTTCTTCTTTTCTTCCTTTTCTTCTTTTTTCCCTTTTCTTCTTTTCTTCTTCTTACTCCTCTTCTTGTCTTCTTCCAGGTTCTCTGTATTTTAATTTTTTTAATTTTTTTTTTCTATTAACAAATGAAAATAGTATTTTGGATCTAAAAATTGAGATGAAAAGTGAGTTTCAACGTATGACCATGATCGAATATATTTGATTTTTTTTTCAATTTTGTTTAATCCTGGTAAATTCTGGAAATGTCACTTTTGTAATCTGAGAATGTCAAAATTATTAGAAGAAACGTCACTTTTATGGCAGCATGTTTATAAAGATGGCAATCTCACTTTGAAAAAATGACATTACAAATGTTAT